TTGATCCTATAGGAACTCATTTTCGGGTCCTCTACATGTTGGTCCTTAACCCTTACAACTAGAAGTTGAGTGCTTGGAATCACTCATGCGAGTTCTTCACAAAAATGATTCAAGAAGTGACTTGAAGTTCTACGGAAGGTGGGCTCTATTGCTAGTCCGCTAGGATGGTCAATAAGAACTTCTAAAGCTAGATCCTAGGTTCTAAGAGTAGGAGACTAAGACCTCACTAAAAATGAGGTCAACAGTCATGTTCAACTTTATCTTAATCTCATATTCAAAAATTCTATTTCCACATAAATAACTCGCTTTTTTAACATATATGTATGGAACGTATCATGCGCATCTGACATTTGATTATGTGTCAATAATTGATAAACAATTCGCCAACTCTGCTAATCACTCCAAAAGTCTTAATAAATCTGAAACTGAGCTTACATTTATTGTCAAATCTTAGGGGTGAACTTCAAAAATACAAAGTCACCAACTTAAAATTCAATTGTTCGGTACTGAGGGTCATAGTATTTCTTCTGTTTATCTTGTGTTGCTCTTAATATATTTTGGATTAATATAATCTTTTTAGTTGTATCATTTAATGTCTCGGAACTCATCAATGCTCATTTCTGTCCAACATAAAGTTTCATGCATCTCCTATCATATAATATCTTATACGATGACTTACCAATGCTTTATTGGAAGTTGTTATTATAGACAAACTCAATCAAAGGAATTTGGTCGTCCAAAATTGTGTGCATATATTCTCAACATATCCTCTAGCACTTCTATAATTCTCTCATTCTGACTTACATCCATCTCTGTCCAACATAAAGTTTCATGCATCTCCTATCATATAATATCTTATACGATGACTTACCAATGCTTTATTGGAAGTTGTTATTGTAGACAAACTCAATCAAAGGAATTCGGTTGTCCAAAATTGCGTGCATATAATCTCAACATATCCTCTAGCACTTTTATAATTCTCTCATTCTGACCATCTGTTTATGGGTCAAATAGTGTATTGAATTTTAATCTAATCCACTAACCCTCCTAACTACTTTTCTATAATCTAAAAGTAAATCTATTTTCACAATAAGAAATAATAATCTCAGGTATCCCATGCAATATATGACAATCTCTCGTATGCTTAATTGTGCCAATTTCTCAATTGAATCTGTCTGTCTCAAAGAAGAAAATGTGCAAATTTCATCAGCCGGTCAAATACAACCATAACATATCATGACCATAACCACTCCTTAAAACTATCTTTACAACATATTTCTCTTCACTCTCAATTAATGATACATATATCTTTAGCCTACATCCAAAAGCGCAAAGGCATCTGTAAGCTGGTCAAACAAATTATCAATCCTAAACAATAGATACTTATTCTTGATTGTCACATTTTTCAAGATTTTATAATCTATACATAAATGCAATGCGTCATCATTTTTCCTCGCAAATCTGATGAGATGCATTGGGTCTGTTAAAATCTTTATCTACTAATTTATGCAATTGTACCGTCAACTGCAATTCTTTAGGTGTGATTCTTTCATTTTTTTCTTCAGATGCAAACTCATATACTCTCCAGGAAATACATCTAGAAACTCCATCATCACAGGAACATTCTCAATCTTTACCTTTAAATCTTTTGCATAAGCAAGAAATATATCTTTCCTCTTCCTCAATAATCTATAAATTTGTAGCAATTTGTAGAATTGATATCAAAAATAAAATTCTTCACTTCAAAGTCATAATACTACTCTCTTCTGGCTTGACTCAAAACAAGCTCTATATTTATCGAATCACTCAATGTGCAAGACAACACCGAATTCAATTAAAGGGCATGTAATTAGGGATGTCAAAACGACTCGTTGCTTGTGAAAAGTTTGTGTTTGGCTCGTTAAGAAGCCCGTGTTCGATTCGTTCACTAAGTTAATAAGCCGAACACGAACAATTTTTTTTGCGCTCGATATATAAACGAACCGAACATGAACACAAATTATTTTGTTCTAGTTTGGTTTGTTTTGGCTCAAAATAATTATATATATATATATATATATATGTATATATATATATATAATTAAAGAGTACTATTTTAAAATATTTT